AATTTCCACTCTAAACTTTCTTCTTTTTTTATTTGCAAACAACACCCCAATTCACTAAAGATTTATCTCTAGAATTAGAGGAAGACCCTCCCCACAATAAGTTCCTCCTGATCTTATCTACTGAAGACAAAAACCAAAAAGGAAGCTTAAAGAAAGATATATATTAAAGAGGGAGAGAAGATATAATAGAGTGATCAAAACCAATCTTTCTCCTATGGATAGATGTTTACTCTTCCAAAGAGAGAGCATTCTATTAAAGGAATCGAGGAAAGGTTGCCAATTCTTTTTGGTAAGGGATCCACACATAAGGGGGAGACCCAGATATTTGGAAGGAAAGGAATCAAGGGAGGAATTCATGAGATTAGCTAAAGATTTCCCTCTACTCGGGATTTTACCACAATAAAAGAGAATTGTCTTAGCGTAATTAATACTTAGACTCGAAATGTCCTCAAATAGATATAGGATAATCTTTAGGGAAGAAATATTTGGATTGTTTACCTTACAAAAAATGAGGGTATCATCTATAAATTGGAGAGATCTAACTCTGAAAGATCCCTTGAGTCAACAGTATTGATAAGCATTCTGTTGAGAACATTAGCTACAAGAATAAATAACATAGGTGATAGGGGATTCCACTACTTAAGACCTCTATGACATTTGAAAATTTTGGTTAGAGTTCCATTAACAAGAATGGATAATTTAGATGAAGAGAGGACATGATCAATCCATGAACACCATTTATAACAAAAGCACCTGGCTCTAAAAAGAGAGAGAATAAAAGGCCAACCGACACAATTGAAAGCTTTAATGAAGTCATCTGAAAGTTTGATAGAAAAGGATGGAAAAACAATGAGGGCCAGATGATTTTTAGGATGAAGAGAAAAGACATCCTGCTTAATCTCTTCCTGAGTGAAAGGAATAACCAAAGACGAAAGATTAATGGTGAAATCAAGATATAAGTAGCTCTAGTCTAGATTAAAGGATGATGCATGTTTAGCCTCAAAGAGGGAAGAGAAGTATGAAAGGAAAGCTTGTTGTTTTTCTAATTCTGGGGAGATGATGATGTTATTGTGGAGGAAAGAGGGAATGAAGTTCTTTCTTCTATGGGCCGAAACAATTTTATGGAAGAAGTAAGTGTTAGAATCACCATTGCCAAAGGACCTTTGATCTTTGTCTCCAGTACATCTCTTCATCATTGGAGATGGAGAAAAACTGAGCTTTCAAATATATTCTCTTAGCCAATTCAGAAGGATTAAGAGACCGCGATTCTCCTAAAAGCAAGAGGGAGTCAATGTCAGACAGAATGCTTTTCTTGGTGGAAGTGAGAGATCCATAAATATGTCTTTTCCACCATTTAATTCTTCTCCGGAAAAGCTTAATTTTAAGAGGTAAGACATCATTGGGGACCTTCTACAAAAGAAAGAAGACCAACAATCTTTAACAAAGCTATGGAAGGAGCATGATAGCCATATTTTTTCGAATCTGAGCAGAGGAGTTGGCTTGGGACAATAAGTATCTAAAATGATAGGAATGTGATCTGAGCAGGCAGAGGGGTATATATATGGGACTCATTGGGGAAATTGAGATTCAAAGTTAGAGGAAATAAAAAAAATCTATCAAGTCTTTCTAAAACATGATTAGCTCTCAAGTTAGACAAAGTAAACCATCTACCATTTAGAGGAAGATCAAAAGGAAATATTCTATATACCATAGATCTGAAACTGTTAATGCCTCTAATAGAGCCAGACCTCCCACTTATTTCATTCAAGTTAAGAGTGACATTAAAATCTACACACAAACTCCAAAGCTTCTTAAGCCATAGTTTGTCTCTCTTCAACTATAAATAATTAGTTTGAGTTTCGAGCGTGTAAAAGATCCCCACGAAACGAGAACCACAACCACCCATCAATTCTTTACCCTGAACACTCGCGTGTAGATGCAGATTGTAGAATAGAGGTTTCAAATCAGACGGGAGCATTTAACAGCCTCTGACACGTTAGGTGACATCCATATCCATTAACCATAGAAAATGATATCATTCAAATTATGGAAGCTCCACATTAGCATATGCTTGCGCGTTAGCGCATACTTGCTCCGGATGATGACAATAAGGCTTGCGCGCTTTGTGAATGATGATTCCGCTTAAGGTGTAATTGAGAAGCTGTGCAAGGATTGGGATTGTCTTCTGTTCTGCCATAGGAATGGGGTTCAATGTTGAACATTGTTCTCTGTTTTTTCTCTATATGGAAATTATCATGAAATTTCCATAGGCTAATACAGTTACTTCTGCCCTTTCATTTCCCCATTCCATGCAGTCTTTTCATAGTAAGACCAGTGTCCAGAGTACAAGTTATACAAGAAACACAGACATACCGGATGAAGTCTGTTTCTTCAACAAGTCCCCAGTTTGTTTTTAGTAGCGACAGTACCATAATGCAGGAAAAAATTAATAAAATTATAGAGATCTGATAAATCATTGTATGGCTTCCCTCGACGTCAAAACTTTCGGTAAAGAAAATATCGGCAATACCTCAAGAAATTTGCTACCTTCTCTAATATAATATGCACTTCGCAATCAGCCTAGAGCTTTTTGTGGGGATTCAGAACAACAAAGCCAACACCTAACAATTGTCCATACTTTGGACAGTGTTTGGCAAACTGAGTCAACACCTAGAGCTCTTAGTATTACAAAACCTAAACACCAACACTCAGCCGGTTTTGGTGGTAGGCCATATTTTGCCAACAGTCGGGCTGGGATTTATTGAGTATCTGGATTAAGCTGGCGCAGAGCTAATGGTCTAGAATTAATCAGGAGTTTGTTAGGTTACCCTATCCATTTTAGGACAAAAGGCAATAAACCCTGATAATAAGCAAAGAAGCAAAATCAAAAGCCATTTACACGATCTTCGATGTTCATATAGAAAAGCTCTTTGGAAAAAGAGTACTTTTTACTACAGAGATTTCACAGTAACTAGATAGGAAACACGTAAAAACTTCCTAATTTTTCACAGGCGAGCCGAAAAAAGCACTAGATATACCATCTCACAATCATTTTAGAAAGTTAAACCAAGATCAACGTATCTGTCAAGGCATTAAATGAGACAACGCAACACTTACTATTGCAAATACTCAATTATTACAGCAAGGAATAGAAACAGTTGATAGAGAAAAGTTAATCTAGCATAACAAATACTCAATTATTACAGCAAGGAATAGAAACAGTTGATAGAGAAAAGTTAATCTAGCATAACTTTTTTGGGAAAAATATATGTTTTATTTGTAAGCATCTTATTGTGAAGAAGCGAATTAAAAGTTAGATTTCACATTTTAATCAATGCCCCCTCGTAACGACGCACTTGTTTGTTTGCCAGCACAGAGTCTCAACGTAACCATCCATTCATTATTGAGGGGTTCCTGCAAGATTCAGAGTAATTTTGTTAGAGAATACTGATAAGATAAAAAATGAATTTTAAATTAGCATAATCAAAGCCATGAACATCACAGAATCAACATAATTATGGCCTGTATATGGTTGCACAAAAAGGCAGAGAAAAAAAGGTCAAATATAAAAGGAGAGAATGGTTTACAATATAAAGCCCAGACAAATATATAAATTAAATATAGTTGCCTGAATGCAAGAACTGTTTACTTGATCCCTCGCCTGCTAACTGATAAAGAAGAGAGAATGAGAAGAGGTCTGCAGCGGGTGTAGTAGCGTAATGATCATGGGTTGAGACTCGTTGAATAGATGATAGTGAGTGATGGAGGATACCATGATGGTAGTCGTGATCATGATCGTTTTTTTGGTGGTTGTGATGGGAGTTGGTGATTGGTGCTGTGATGATTGGTCATTGTGGTGATCGTAGAGACGAACGCATAGGTGGTTAAGGAGGTGGTGGTGATGTAGGGGCAGATGGCTACTAACAAGAGGGATGAGGCTTGGCTTCAAGGGTGAGGGAGAGGGAGGAGGAATGAATAAAATTAGATATGGGGGAACCTTTCTCCATAATAAGAATTAGTTAAATTTTTGGGTAGCTACTAATAACTAGAGAAAGACTACTTCGACGGGCTAAAGAGAAAATGCAAGAGATCCATAGCCCTAAAGAGAAAATGCAAGTATCCGCTTTTACTCACTACCTTCAAAAGCAATTTCTTAAATATAAAGGAATGATATATCCTAGATTTCCCAAATTTCTTTTCATTTTTATAGTCACCAGAACAGGTGTGGTCCGTTCTCGGAATGACACAAAGCAAGAAACAATATACAGTTCGTTCTCGTAATGACACAAGGCAATAAACCATGTTCAAATCACTAGCCCGTCCACATGGTCAGAGCCAGTCATCAAAGAATGGAAAGTGTTACGCTTTCAGCCTATAAGCCATCATATAATACGTAACAAAAGAATAATTTAGAATCTCAGTGAAAGCAGGCAAAACGGCCATGAGCCAAAAAAAAAGGAGAGGACAAAAAAAAAGATGAGCAAGAAAAAATAAATACAGATACAAAATAAAGCATCCTCCCTGCAAGTAAACATGTCTTTCTGGTTAGATGACAAAAAGTGAGGTAAACATGGCAAAGCCAAGGGTAGAATTAACCTCGAGTTTTATCCTCCCGCCAGTATAGAAACCTAAGATTAGCACCCTGCTTGTCCATCTTATATAGCTGATTCCAGTGTTCAGCTACTTCACATCCCAAAACTGCACCACAGAGAGCTCCAAAGCCAGTAGCTAGAACAACACCTGCAATAAATCCACCATAATTATTAAAAACAAAAACTAAAAATGATAAGCAATATATCACAAAATAACGCCCGACTTATATTTACATTAATTTCAACTATGACCTGTCACAGACAAATCATAATAGATACATGGTAAGGATATGAGGTTAAAAGTATAGTATTTGAGTAGCTTGTAGTGTATCGAGCTTCCCATTCTGTCTGCTTATAATCAAATTAAGGAGAACAAACAGAACAACTCAAAAAATCCATCTTTATCTTTTACAATCATGATGTCCAAATTCAGTAAGATCACAGCAGAACAGATAAATGGATATAGTGATTAACCTGATTGAGATGGCAAGACAGAGACAAGCAAATATAGAGGTGCAAGGGATTTTATTTGTTCTAAATGAAGAAGTGAAACTAAGATGACATCAAGGAAGCGTTTTGGGGAAGGGATCGAAATTGTCCGCATTAAGAATTAACAAAACACAAGCAAGATGAAGTTGCATAAATTTGTTTATTGGAGAATACAGATAATGCTACACTTATTTATACTAAAAAACAATTCGAATAATGTAATCATTGAGAATATTAACTAGATTGCACACCACATCCGGTTTGTGCTTAATCTATGAATTATTAAAGCATCATAACTTAAAGAAAATTTTCTTTATCCTTTTCTTTTTCTTGTGTGCGCTCTTTCCATCTAGGATGGTGGAGCAAACAAATTTACAGTGTTTAAAGGTCAGGTTTTAACATATCAAACATTTAAATCCATAAAGATTACTGAAACATGATACAATAAATAAGCAAATACATTACTATCCCAGCTGAAAAAGCTTTGGTAACACAGTTTTCGTCTTATGCATGTATTAAGGGTGATAATACCAAATTGGCATATAAAATGACACCACTTTACTACTATGGCATATGAAGTAATGCTGGCAACAAATTAGAATGAAAGGTCCGTAAGTTGTCACAAGTAGGCTACTCCAATCGGC